TGATAGGAAATAAGCAACTTATTTCTCAAAAGATAATATAATAGTGTGGAAAAACTATCATCTTTGAATTTAAAAACAACTATTATTCTGTTTTTATCAAGATTTAAATAAATATTTTAATTTACAAAAATATTCCCAATGATCAAATCTTTACATTTTTGTTTAGCTGTAGATTTGCACCGTTAGAATTTGGAGAAATTACTTTTAGATTCCAAGTCTTTGAAGTTGGAGGGCTTTCAAGCCATTTTCCTAATCTTTAGCTCCTGCCTTTAATATCAGATCAATGTCTGATTTCTAACATGGCCGCTCCCGAACCTTACGTACATTCAGTTAGAAAAACAATGCTTGTAAAATTAGAACAGAATTTAAAATCTAAATGAATTATTGTAAGGGACATTTTAAGGTCATTTATGGCAATCAATTGAGCCTAAAAATCACAGACATTTCTTTAAATACCATTAAAAGTTTAACAACCTAACTATAAGGAAAGCTTCACTGGTTTAAGTGGTTAGAATGACTTTTATCAGCCAGGTAATGCTGATTACTGTTGATTAGAAAAAAATATTCTGTCAGGACACACAAAGGCTTTCTACTTGTGTACTCAAATCAAACACTGCTATTCAATTCTGAAATGTGGGTTAAAAAAAATTAAATATGCGTAACGTGTTATGAAATGCTAATTAGGCACGTGTTCATGAGTTTGGTTGTTTAGGTAAACATCATCTAGTTAATAAAAAGGATCTATTCATCATTAGACCAACCAGATGCCCTTGATTTACCAGCAGCAAATTCAAATGCAAATGAAGCATGTGGACAGACATAGTGGATTTCAGTTATGGATGGTTTTCAGTATGTTTATCTTCTTCCTTGTCATTTTAAAGCATCTGCATACAATGTTTTGTGTGGAAATATAAAAGGCTAAAAAAGGTTCAGTTATATTTCACTGCAATAACTTCTGTTGCTTTTTGTCCTCGGCATACCACTTGCTCGGATGAAAAAGAAAATTAAAATTAAATATAAAAAAATAAATAAAGAATAAAAAGAAACAATGCCAAAAAAACTGTACAGTCATTAACAAAAGCAGACTCAAAAAGACTATGTAAGACATGGACTATACTTTAAATAGCAAAAGATTGGTCCTCTCTGAACTGCATCCCAAAATAACAAATAAAAAGCTGTTGTTTTTTTTTTTAGGGGATTCTGCAGCTAGTGCCCTGATAGCGAAGCAGCAAAACTGTCAATGTGAAATCTGCAATACAAAACGTAAAAATTGACAAAAAAGTGTTTCTGTTCGAGATGTAGATAAGTAATAAGAGATTTAACTGATTATTGTTATTATAAAAAAAAAAACAATAAGGCTGATCCGTTTTTAGTAGTTATTAATAAATGAATCATGAAGCAACAACTCAGGCCAGAGGATGGTAAATAAAAAGATTAAATGTTACATAATTATTTAAACCTGCTTGGAGAGCCAGTTCAAAGTTATAACTGCAATACTGTAAAACTGTTATTATTAGCCAAAATAATAACTGCGGAAAGAGTAAACAGTGGAATAGCAAATCTATGCAGGACTGGGAGGAAAGGATAAAAGCAGCAGTTTGTTTTAGTTACTGCCACCGGTTGGACTGAAGGTGTTGTGCAGTTTTTCCTTCAGGCTGATCTAAATGAATGTCCGGGTCCTTTAAGGGACGGCTGCATGGTTTAAACAGGTTTTAGGATTTGAATTGCTGCGACTTTAAGTAAAAAATATGGGGCTCCATAAAAGACATTTCATCCCAGCGCTGCGTGTCCCGAGCCCATAACATCATCAGTGACCCCTCACAGCCCTACCATGGACTGTTCTCCCTGCTGCCCTCTGGGAAGAGGATTTGCAGCATTCACTGCAGGACCAGCAGGTTCTGGAACAGCGTTTCCCCCCCTGCCATAAGACTGTTGAACTNGTACACATCATATTTGTACTGCATGGTGAATCTTCAAAATAGAACTCACTCAATGTTTCTACTGCATTTTGCACCATGTCTATTTATTTTCCACATCAAGGACCTTTTGCAGCATGTCTCCCCTACACTGTTTACAATCTGATCACTGCTGCGCTTTCTAAGTAGAAATTTCATTTGTATTTTCATTTTCACTGCTAAGCTGCTGCTCATTCACTGTTAGAAAGCTGTTGAAAATGATATTTTGTTTTGTATACACTGTGTATGCAAAATGACAATAAAGTTTGTCAAATCATTAGCAAGTAAAATATTTTTATTAAGGCTATCATATGTGACTTATACTGACCCAACATTGTCATTCATTGCCATAATATCCTTAATTTGGCAGGTTGAATCAACTTTATTATTTGTAAAAGAATCAAAATTTGAATGTTTTAAAAGTAAATAAAAAATAGAACAGCATTTTTGACTTCTTTGCTTTAAAAGAAAGAATATAAATAGAAACGTTTCATCAAAAATAAGGTGCAGTTACCACCTGCTGTAACTAAGCCTTTGTTTTTTCATAGTCTTAAACATATTTATTGCCTTTTACAGTAGGCATGAAATCTCTCCCTCTGTAAGCTGATAGGAATTAGGATCGAAGGCTACCTTTCAATCATCCTTTCATATGAAGAGCTTAATGAATTTGAAAGCCAAGCTCTTAGAGCTGAAGATGAGGCAGCTCTTTTACACAGGAAGATAGATCTCTGATTGTGCTGGAAACCACACAAACAGATTTCAAACCTGGTGTTCTGCCAAATAACTACAAGCTGAGATGGGCTCATAGATGTTTCAAAATAAACACAGCAGTAGTTTTACTGATTTTAATTTAGTGCATGCAGATGATTTGTTCGTTCTTGAAAGCAGCCTATTATCTTTAGGCACAACGTCAATCTTTGTGCAGGTTTATGCGACTAACGCTGGCATTTAGCTGTGGTCAGTATTGGAAAGAATCTTGAAATAATTCATAAGGGGTGTGAATGTTAGGGTTGGAGTAATCCCACTGTATGTGTGTGTGTTATTGTTACAGGCTGTGATGATGTCATGGCTGATGTGTGCCCATAATGGGCTCTGAGGGGTTATCAGATGAACCTTTTCCTGCCCGCCTTAATGGATTCTCGGCTACTGTGCGTTCGTGAATAGGAGGGAGGGGATACATTTCCATTTTGATGATCTTATTCTTTACAGATTTTCCTTTTTTTTATACTATTTTCAATCATTCAGGATAGTTCCCTACATAGATTTGTACAAGAATTACAGATTCTCCAGAAAGTCTCCTCGAAACAGAAAAAATGCTCCAGTTAACAATTTATGCTTCCAACTTATGAATGACTGGATCAATTTAAAAAGAACAGGTTGTCTCATTTATCTGAAACATCCAAATCGCCAGCGCAGAAGCATTTAGGAAAATGTCTCAATATTCTCAGTAAAAGGAATCCACGCAGTGTGGTCGTGTCAATATGGAGACATTGGCAGACCTAATATTGACTGGAAGTCTCCTGACTTGCGTCTGCTGTGTGTGTCGAGCAGACAAGGCTGAACATAGTCCAGATAGTGCAGGCTGCAGCCTGTCTTCAAACATGAGCACCAACTTAGAAACAGGGGATTATGTTGCAGCCCACGGGTTAAAATACATGGTTAAAAAAGAACTAAGTCAAATCTTTAGGGTGTAAAAATTGTAGTATGTCTAATTTTCCAGTTTAAAAAGTTCCACTCAGCCTCATCTAAAGAATCAGTTACTAAAATGAACTTTTAAAAATGTGTGCAATAATTTAGGAGTGCCTGTTTCCTATTTTAAATATGTTTTTGTAGGTACAGATAGAGTTAAGATTATCTCATGAGTAAAAATATCATAAAATACCATATAAGAAACTGTCTCTGGATTTCTTTCTTTAAAATACCAAAAACAATCATTACCACTGCTGATAAAGTAGTGCAACATCTTTATACACTGATGCAATATTATACAGGCTGAAATATAAAGAAAACAAGCACTAAATGTAGTAATAACTTTCTGCTGATGATTGCAGAAAGTGTTTAAACTGTAGGAATGTTGTGGGTTTTTGATGCCATTATCCAGCCCTGTGTCTATTGGTGAGTTAAAGTCTTTTCACCATTTTCAGCCATAATAAAGCAAAAAATGAATTAATACTAAAACAAAGTATAGTTCCTCAAATATTCACATCTCTGTGTGGAATTTAGCAGAAAGACAGCAGTGGGGTTGTGTTCCCAGTGAAACGGGATTGTGGCTTTCCATGACTATCATCTGATGTTGTAACTCTTGACTTGGGGTTTTTGCAGCAAGAAGGCTGGGTATTAAAATCTTATGACTCAGACTGTATGAGCAAGAAACCAGCTCCGACACAAGAAGACCAGGACGGGTCTCCGTGGGCAGAAGCTTTGGAAAATAAATAAGAAATAAAGCAGTGAGTCATACAATTGTCTGGTAGAGGGTGGGTTTCTCAAAACATGGGAAAATAATCATTCTATTTTTTTTAAGCACACTTCTCTTGGGGTTATTTGTTGTTTGTTTTTTGTGGGAAATGTGGGAATCTGAGAAAGAAAGGAACATATGCTAATCCATAGTATGGATGTAATGGATGTGGGTGTGTGTGTGTGTGTGTGTGTGTGTAGTACACACACACACACATCTATATTTTTCAAGCTCAGGAGATATTTATATATTAATAATAATATATTAATTCACACTTTCAAATTCAATTTAATGATTATTAACAGCCCAGTGAAGCAAGAGAATAATTAACAAAAGGTGGAGTTTAATGTTTATCTAGTATGTTGTGAAGATTGGGACCAAATAATAAATAAACAACCTTTTTACAGCATTAAGTGTTATTCTTCAATGATAACTTCATATATAAAAACATATTTTAGTGTCTAATGGTGCAAAGGGTGTCTCCCGATCAGCTACACACCCAGATCCACACCATCAATCCACTGCAGTCATTGTTTCCGTTTTCTTGGAGGCAATGAAAGCTGTCATATATCAACCGTTGCTGTTCTTACCGTATTTAGATTCTGGGTTTTTCTCCTCCAGCTCCATTCTGGTGCTCGGTCCGTCTACTCGCAGATGATCTGATCTCAGACAGCACAGTTACCATGGAAATGTGCTGGAAAGAAAAAACATAAAGGATTGATCGTCTGCCGCTGCTACAGGGAGAGAGGGAGAGGCCATCCCAAAACACCACGGATTCCCGTCACATTCCACAAATAACGGAAAGCAGACACAGCCAATCAGAAAGCGGTGTTTGGTAACTGACAGCTTGTCCAGCCAATCGGAGTGTCGCTGAGCGAGGAAACTCCACCTTTGGTTCTTTCTGCTGTGGAATGTTAAATATAAAACCATTTATGTGTTTAGCTTTAGTAATACTGAATTACAAAATGTTTCATGTTAAATATCATTGATTAAAGTATTTATCTAACACGTTGTATGAAACTATTTTTTTTTTCGTCAATTTCCTTTAAATTCAAAGCTCCACTCCGCAATGAAGTTACCAAATTATTTTAAGTTTTTTTCTTCTTTTTTTCACATAAGTAAATCAATTAAATACGGAAGAGGGCCACTGAAATAAATAACAAACAAACTGATTTTTAAATTTTACCTTAGTATAATATGAAAAACAAGTCAGAATTCTGACCTTAATCTCAGAATTCTGACTTTAATCTCAGAATTCTGACATTAATCTCAGAATTCTGACATTAATCTCACAATTCTGACATTAATCTCACAATTCTGAACGTAATCTCACAATTCTGACATTAATCTCACAATTCTGACCTTAATCTCACAATTCTGACTTTAATCTCAGAATTCTGACCTTAATCTCACAATTCTGACTTTAATCTCAGAATTCCGACATTAATCTCAGAATTCTGACTTTAACCTCAGAATTCCGACATTAATCTCAGAATTCTGACATTAACCTCAGAATTCTGACTGAATTCTGTCAGCTATCAAACATTGTTAGCATCAAGCCATAGCCATGTCTGTTTTAAAGACTAAACTAGCTCTATTGTTTTACAGTTTTTTCTGAATGCTTAAGCGCTAATCGTGATTCTTGTAGCACAATTTCTAAAACTATTACAGTTTTTTTCTGAATGCTTAAGCGCTAATCGTGATTCTTGTAGCACAATTTCTAAAACTATTAATACGTATAGCAAAACCACTCACTGAGTTTGCAAAACTAAAAGCACAAACACTGCATTGCACTCAGTTTG